CCCGGGCCTTTAAATAACCTCTCTGACCTCAGCAGCCCGGTCCAATCGAAGCTGCCAATACTGACTACAAACCGACCAATCTGCCAAGCATCCCTGGCTACCTGGGCCCGCACGCAGGGCCGGGCTTTTCCCCCACCCCTGCCCAGGTGACCAGAGCATCACCTCCCAGGCGCCAGGCTTTTGTCATGCAGACAAGGTGGGAGATCCCTGCCGTGAGGGATTCAATCGCAGCCTCTCAGGCTGGCAGAGACAGATCTCTGGAGAGGGGCACCGACAGTGGCATTTCTGCCACAGCAGCCAGAGTATGGTTCTGGCTGTCCAGGCTCTGGTTTTGGACAGCGCACACAGCAGTGCTTTTTTACTCTGTGCTTTTTTTAGATATTTGAATTTCCTAGTATCTAATTTTGTCACTGAGCTGCAAATATGCAGCGTGGTGAACCAATTCACATGCTCTCTGTGCATTTTGCGGTGCCTCAAAAGCCTTTGAGTTGCCACAAAGCATGTGTTCCCACTTATGGGGATGTAGCCTTCTTGTACAAAACTCCACAAGTTCAGCCACCCATGATACTGCTGGATTCCTACTAAAAATGCTTGTAGAATACCATGAATCATTTCTTTGAAGAGCAGAGACTGGTGATGGGGGGAGAGTTTATCAGGCCATTTGAGAGGATTTTGCAGGTCTTCTCTTAAATACTGTTTTTGTTTTAATTTTAAAGAAAGAGAACAGTAAAGCACATACCAATTTTCCTCAGGACCAGTATTATCTACTGTAATGCTACAAGCATACCTGGCATTTCACAATCATGTAAGACCAAGTCCTTGCTCTGAACATCTTCCTATCTACAATAGAAACAAAAGAAATTATCAAAACATTTTTATCTCCTAAAAATGTAGAGGCCCGTTAACCTAGACTTGGCTTCCTGTTTGGCATGTGTAAAACATGTGCTTCCTCTTAGGCATTTTTAACAGTGCAAAGTGTATGGATATTTAGCTCTTTATGTAGTGTCTTGTGTCAGTAGAACTTGCAGACCTCCTTCAAAATGT